CGCCGCGCGCAGCCGCGCCGCCGGGCGCGCCGCGCCGGAGACCGGGGCCGGCGGCCGGCGCCAGCCGACGGCGCCCCAGGCGCTGCCGGTGGTGGTGGTCACCGGCCTGTCCGGCGCCGGCCGCACCACCGCCCTGAAGGTGCTGGAGGACATCGGCTACGAGGCGATCGACAACCTGCCGCTCAGCCTGCTCGGCCCGGCCGTGCTGGCCGGCCATCTGGACCGCCCGGTGGCGCTGGGCGCCGACATCCGCAACCGCGACTTCGCCGCGCAGCCCTTTCTGGAACAGCTCGACGCGCTGGTCGCCGAACCGGCGCTGGAGGTGAAGCTGGTCTTCATGGACTGCGCCGACGAGGTGCTGCAGCGCCGCTTCACCGAGACCCGCCGGCGCCACCCGCTGGCCCAGGAGCGCCCGCTGGCCGACGGCATCGCCGCCGAGCGCACCATGACCGCGCCGCTGAAGGCCCGCGCCGACCTGGTGGTCGACACCTCCAGCCTGGCGGTGCCCGACTTCCGCCGCCTGATGACCGGCCACTTCGGCCTGGGCGCCGCGGGGCTGGCGGTCTTCGTCACCTCCTTCTCGTTCCGCCAGGGCCTGCCGCGCGAGGCCGACCTGGTGCTGGACGTGCGCTTCCTGCGCAATCCGCACTACGTGGAGGCGCTGCGCCCGCTGACCGGCCGCGACCGTCGGGTTGCCGACTACGTCGCCGGCGATCCGGCCTTCGCGCCCTTCTTCGACAACCTGACCCGCCTGGTCGCGCCGCTGCTGCCGCGCTACGAGGCCGAGGGCAAGAGCTACCTGACCATCGCCGTCGGCTGCACCGGCGGCAAGCACCGCTCCGTGGCCATCGCGGAGAAGCTGGCGGCCTGGCTGCAGGACCGGGGCCGCCCGGTCACCCTGGGCCACCGCGACAAGCCGGCCGACTGACGCTCCGCGCCGCCGGCAGGGAGTCGGGCCCGGCGCTTGCGGCTGGCTTCCGCGCGCCGGGTGCGCTAGCCTCCGGCTCCTCAAGCAAGAGGCAGTTTCGCCGATGATCGGTCTTCTTCTGGTTACCCACGGCCGCCTGGCGCAGGAGTTCATCTCCGCCATGGAGCACGTGGTCGGGCCGCAGCCGCAGGTGGCGGCGATCTGCATCGGCCCGGACGACGACATGGAGGCCCGGCGCGGCGAGATCATCGAGCAGGTCAAGGCCTGCGACGCGGGCGACGGCGTGGTGATCCTGACCGACATGTTCGGCGGCACGCCCTCGAACCTCGCGATCTCGGTGCTCGACCAGGCCAAGGTCGAGGTGATCGCCGGCGTCAATCTGCCGATGCTGATCAAGCTGGCCAGCGTGCGCCAGACCGCCAGCCTGGCCGGTGCCGTCGCCCAGGCCCAGGAGGCCGGGCGCAAGTACATCAACGTCGCCTCGCAGCTTCTGGCCGGCGAGGCGGTGCGCTGAGGGCGCGGGCATGAGCGAGACCGCCCCCGGCCCCTCGTCGCGCGCGCCCGGCTCCACCGAGGCGGCGGACCCGGCGGGTGCGCGCGCCGAGCGGCGGGTGACCATCGCCAACCAGCGCGGCCTGCACGCCCGCGCCGCCGCCAAGTTCGTCAAGCTGGCCGGCAGCTTCCAGGCCGAGGTCACGGTGACCAAGGGCCCCAACGCCGTCTCCGGCAGCTCGATCATGGGGCTGATGATGCTGGCCGCCGCCCCCGGCTGCGAGATCCTGGTCGCGGCCAGCGGGCCCGACGCCACGGCCGCCGTCGAGGCCCTGGCCGAGCTGGTCGCCCGCAAGTTCGATGAAGACTGAGCCGCGCAAGTCCAGCCAGACCAAGCGGTCCGGGGCCCCGCGCACCGGCAGGGCGGAGACGAAGGAACGGGTCTTCGAGGGGCTGGGCGTCTCCCCCGGCGTCGCGATCGGGCCCGCGCATCTGCGCGAGGGCGAGGTGGCGCGGGTGCCCGAGTACAGCGTCGCCGCCGCCAAGGTCGGCGCCGAGACCGCCCGCTTCGAGGCGGCCGTCGACAAGGCCGTGCGCCAGCTCCAGAAGATCCGCCGCAAGTCCTCCGCGCTGCATGGCGCCTCGGGCGAGGAGCTCGGCTACCTTCTGGAGGCGCACCTGCAGATGCTCTCGTCGCGCCGGCTGCGCGAAGGGGTGACGGGGCGCATCGCCAAGCGGATCAACGCCGAGGCGGCGGTCGCCCGCGAGATCGACGCCATCGCCGGCGCCTTCGCCGAACTCGACGACGCCTATCTGCGCAGCCGCGCCAGCGAGGTGCGCGAGGTCGGCCAACGCATCCTGCGCAACCTCACCCGGCGCGGCTTCACCGGCTTCGGCGACCTCGACCCCGGCAGCGTCGTGGTGGCGGAGGAGATCACCCCGGCCGACACCGCGCTGATGGACCCGGTCAAGGTGGCCGGGTTCGCCTGCGCCCTGGGCGGCGCCGAGGGGCACACCGCGATCATGGCCCGCTCGCTGGGCCTGCCGGCGGTGCTCGGCGCGCCCGGCGTGGTCGGCGGCATCGGCCCCGGCGACACGGTGATCGTCGACGGCTTCGAAGGCCTGGTGATCGTCAACCCGACGAAAAAGCGCCTGGCCGCCTACCGCAAGCGCCAGGCCGAGGAGGCCAGGCAGGTGCGCGCGCTGGCGCGGCTGCGCGGCCTGCCGGCCGAGACGCGCGACGGCACCCGCCTCCAGCTCCAGGCCAACCTGGAGCTGCCGCGCGAGGTCGGCCAGGCCACCGCCGCCGGCGCCGAGGGGGTCGGCCTGCTGCGCACCGAGTTTCTCTTCATGAACCGCGACGACCTGCCCGACGAGGAGGAGCAGACCGAGGTGCTGACCGGCATGGTGGCCGGGCTCGGCGGCCAGCCGGTGACCATCCGCACCCTCGACGTCGGCGGCGAGAAGCTCGCCTCCTCCCTGGGCGGCCACCTGGGCGAGAGCGCCAACCCGGCGCTGGGCCTGCGCGCCATCCGCCTGTCGCTGCGCGCGCCGGAGCTGCTGGAAGCCCAGCTCGCGGCGATCCTGCGCGCCGGGGCGGCCGGGCCGATCCGCATCCTGCTGCCGCTGATCACCAGCGT